TAAAATATACTCGTTCTCTGACCAATCGAACACGTTTGAACGTTAAAGTTTTTAGAGGTAAATTAGCAGAAAGCATTTGGAAGAAGAAGAAGAAGAGGTTATGTACATTGGATTATCAGATCTCGCCTTGTACCTCTTTTGCTCCTGTTCAAATTAACTGATTCAAATTCTCATCACACTCTCCTGATAGTGTAATAACCGAACTCTACTAAAATTAAAATATACTCGTTCTCTGACCAATCGAACACGTTTAAACGTGTTAAAATTTGTTAAAGTTTTTAAATTAGCAGAAAGCATTTGGAAGGTTATGTACAGTGGATTGTCAGATCTCGCCTTGTATCTCTTTTGTTCTTGTTCAAATTAACCGATTCAAATTCTCATCACACTCTCCTGATAGTGCAATAAGCGAACTCTACTAAAATATACTCGTTCTCTGACCAATCGAACACGTTTGAACGTTAAAGTTTTTAGAGGTAAATTAGCAGAAAGCATTTGGAAGAAGAAGAAGAAGAGGTTATGTACATTGAATTGTCAGATCTCGCCTTGTACCTCTTTTGCTCCTGTTCAAATTAACCGATTCAAATTCTCATCACACTCTCCTGACAGTGCAATAACTGAACGCAAAATTAAAATATACTCGTTCTCTGACAAATCGAACACGTTTAAACGTGTTAAAGTTTTTAGAGGTAAATTAGCAGAAAACATTTGGAAGAAGAAGAAGAAGAGGTTATGTACATTGGATTGTCAGATCTCGCCTGACCCTTGTACCTCTTTTGTTCAAATTAACCGATTCAAATTCTCATCAGATTCTCCTGATAGTGCAATAACCGAACTCAACTAAAATTAAAATATATTCGTTCTCTGACCAATCGAACATGTTTGAACGTGTTAAAGTTTGTTAAAGTTTTTAAATTAGCAGAAAACATTTGGAAGGTTATGTATATTGGATTGTCAGATCTCGTCTGATCCTTGTACCTCTTTTGCTCCTGTTCAAATTAACCGATTCAGATTCTCCTGATAGTGCAATAAGCGAACTCAACTAAAATTAAAATATACTCGTTCTCTGACCAATCGAATATATTAAAGTTTATTTAGAGGTAAATTAGCAGAAAACATTTGGAAGAAGAAGAAGAAGAGGAATAAAAATTCTATTACTCACGATGCCGGTGTACAATCCCAAACTCGTGAAGGGGTTAACAGCGACGAGTATATCTCCAATATAAGTATATATTTGAGCTTGCTCGTATCTGTGCTGCAACTGATCGACTATACCATCCTCCGAGAGCATATCCAAAGCGGCCAAATCGTCCATGTACATCTTCTCCGCTTTGGCCTTTCGATAAGTCTTCAATTTTCCATGCTTGGTGGTCACCTCGGGCTGCCTGTGCACCCTGCCTTCGACCCTCTGCCGATTGATCTCCCCGCGAAGCTGGTCCCGAATCTTCTCCACCAAAGGATCGACGTTGATTAACAGTGGATGCTCCTTCAATTCGCTGGCGAACGGCCTGTGCTCGAGATCTTTCACCAAACATTCCGTGATGAAGTCCACCAATTCCGGGCTGTGGATGTCCGGATTCTTGAGGGACGGGGGTGGATTTCTAGGAATTTGAAAGAGCGCTCTCATGGGATGGAGTTCCGAGAGAGGTGGGTCGCCCTCAGCTAACTCGATCGCTGTTATTCCAATCGACCATACGTCGCATCGGGAGTCGTATGAGGAATCTAGTTGTTGCTCGCAAGCTATCACCTGTTTCCCCAATTTTATTCCATCATCATTTTATCCATCGATGTGTCTAAAATTCTTTCTATTTCTTGAAAAATTCTATCCTATATGCTCAGCTTTTTTTTATTCTATATAGTCTATTATTATTATATTATTATATAGTCTATTATTATTATATAGTCTATATAGAATAAAAATTCTTCTATACAGTTCTATTCTATTGCATTTTCAAAGATTGCAGAGAAAATAAGGATTGATTGGTTTCGTGGATTAGATCGATTAGAAAGAATAATAAAGAGAAATCATAATGATATTATAACAAATGATTCTGATTCTTCGGTTTCGAAATTCGTCATCTATCCTTTTACTATAATAATGATACTATAATACGATAAAGTCATATTTCAACGAGGTAAAAGTTGGTCGTATATATCCGTATATATTTATTATATCGGATCGTTTTTACGCTTAATTGTAATTTACCTCGGGCGCCATCCAGTACGGTGTCCCGACCGAGGTGTTCTTTCTCGCGAGCGTGGCGACGAGGTGAGACGACACGCCAAAATCAACCAGTTTCACGTGGGCATCTTCGGTGAGCAATATATTGTGGCCTTTAACGTCACGGTGCATGCAGTGACGGCTATGCAAATAAATTAACGCCTCGACCGTTTCTCTGAGGATGTAAGCTATTTGGTCGTCCGTTAGGCGTTTTCCTTTCCTCTTCAAGCCTTGGGCCAGGTCGGTCACCGAACCTCCAGTGCACAACTATCATCGAAATAACATTTTACATTTTTTTTTTTTTAGTTCCAAAAAAAAAAAGAAAGAAAGAAAGAAAGAAAATCGAAGAAATTCTTGGACAATATGGAATGTAATTAAGATTTAACGGGTCCAACAATGGTTTTTTATTCGAGATTAGAGTGACGATACCTCCATGACGAACCATAATTGATCCTCCTCCTGAGTAGGCTTCGCTCTTTTCAAGAACAACCCGTAGAAGAGAGGGATGTTAGGGTGGTGGCTCAGATCTCTCAGCACCAGATACTCTTCCTCGATTTCCTCCACGTTGTCCGCGACGTTCTCCAAAATTTTAATCGCCACTTTCTTCTCGGTTTCGTTGCAGTGCGCGCTGTAAACCGCCCCGTATGTCCCCTCGCCGATCAATTCCTCCAACACGAAACGATCACCAGGATCTGGTATCGCGTCGAAGTTCACGTGTTGACTGAGACCGTGGTACGCCATATTGGTTCCTCCACCGGTCATTTCTGGAATAAAAAAGAAGAAAAAAAAAAATTAAGCACGAAATAGAAAATATATAGAAATGGGAATTATTAAATATTATTGATTAAATTGATTATTTATTAATAATGGAATATCGGATGGAATATAATATTTAAAATAGGAGAATATTAAATATTATCATATTGGCAATTGGTAATTATTTAGTATCAGTGGATGGAATATCGAGTGGAATATCTAAAATAGAAAATGGAAATTGTTAAATATTTATATTATACAGTGATTGGATGTTTAATTCGAGTACAAATAGATTTTGGTGCAAATTTCAACCATGATCGTCTTATTTATTTAGCAAGGAGAAATTATATTTGAATATCACTGTACGCATGAAGAGTGATGGTAATAACATTCCATATTATGTATTCATCGAGTTTAGTAAATGAAGGAAACTTCATCGAGTGGTGAACTAATTCCTTCCCGTAGAAAGTTGCGGTGAACCGCGAGAAGAAAAGTTGTAACTGTTGAAGTCTTAAAATTGAATCTTTTCAAAGCAAATATAAATATATAAATAAATTTCAATAAAGTATAGATAATTTCTATCGATTTCCATTAAGAAGCATTAGAAAAATATGGGACGAAGATTATTTATTTCGAATTTTCTAAGCAGCTTACGTAACACATCTTTTTAACGTAATCAAATTTACGCTCTTCCCGTTCTTATTGAACGAAACAATTCAATTGTCCCAAATACGAATAGAAAAAAATGTTGAAATTTTCATCCCCTAACAACGATATTGCAACGAATGAATTTCACGAATACGTCGAAATATACTTTCTCCTGTTCGAATTCGACGATCGATCACCGTGAAAATTCGCGAGAAACAAATATTCGAAGATCTCTTTCACTCTCTCACTGTTTTTCTTTGATTCGTTTTCTTTTCTTTTTCTTTTTTTTTTTTCTACTGACCGATTACGTCATCCATTTCGTCGTCGTTTCACGCTCAAGATTTCAGTGAATCTCGATCCCTCATTTAAGGAAATAAAATGGACGAAAATCACGGATCGATTACTATGAGTGGAACACTTGTTCACTTGGCCAGGTGTGAAATACGACTGAGTCGCTCGTCTTCTAACCAAATACCTGTTAACTCCCTAATAGGATTAGGGCGTAAGACCGGCGCATTTCTCCTCTTTCTCATCGGAAATAGGTCTCGTAAGAAGGCATCCAGTGCGGCCACGTGTTCTCCTCCTGTCATTTTCATATCATTATTAACTCGATAATAAAAGATCGGGCCGTACATCAGGATGTGTAATAATATCAATTTAAGCTCGAGAATCTTGAAACGAGATATATATTATAACAGTGCTAAATTAAATCTTATTGGAACGGAAAGTGGATAAGTAGATTCCAATACAAATTAAATATTACAAATAGATATATTTAAATACGTTATTTTTATTGATTTGCGCGATGTGTTTGATATTACGTTGTTGAAATTTATTAGAGTTAAATATTATTATAATTAAGGATGTTTGGGCAAATTTAAATTTTGGCAGATGCAATTGGTAAAAAAATTGGAGCGAAGAAGTGAAAATTTCATTTTTCGTATATTATTATAACGTGTATGATTCTTATGTTTCTTTGCAATTTTTTTATTTAGATAGATTTTTGGATATTGAAATTTTCTACAAAAACGCATAAAATCGATTCTATATTTTATCAAAAGTATCGTATTTAAATTTTTTTCTTAATAAATTGCAAATAATCGTAGATTTATTTTAATTTTTTTGGATTATTATATTATATTTATTTTTTTGATTTTTTTTTTTAATTAGAATGAAGAAACGGTTCTAAGAAAGGATGTGGAACAAGATTAAGTCCGCTCAATTATTAAAACCATGTTTTTTTTGCGTTTCTGCTTTTACAAGGTGTTTAGATAGGATAATAAGTGATTTATGCTGGTAGATGAAGCCGCCCAAGGATCGAAGCCACTCGTGGTTTCGAATGACATTTTGTAACGCGAAATTAAACGAGACATTTATAGTTCACGGATGATGGGCGTGCAATAATCGATCGAAGGGACGATAAAGATGTAACTAACTTTTATCGATCCGAAAATATCGCTCGTGTCTTATCCTGCCTTCAAATTTTTATTTTTATTTTTAGGCTCGTAAAAAATTGTAATCGAAAAATCATCGATTACAAAGATCAATGCAAAAAAAAAAAAAAAAAAAAGAAAGAAAGAAAAACGGAATATAAAAAGAATTGAATTGTATTATCCAAAATAAAATTTTCACGATTCGACGAATTCGACGGGGAATTAATCCAAAGCAAAATCCAGATGAATGGATACAGTTAATATTTCGCGAACACGAATGAAATGGTAAATGGTATAGTTTACTTTATTTACGACAGATTTTATTCAGAACGATTAATTAAAAGATTTATTATAAATGTAAGTAAAAAAAAAATGCAAGGTATAACTATCGTGCAATTAAGATATTTCCATATTTTGCTTTCAAATGTAAATTCAGAGGAGCGAGGAAAAGATAATTTCATAATCTTGTAAGCGAGCGTGCAGGTGTTAATTATGGTGCATGGCCGCCCGGTCACGTTTAACCGCGTGAAGTGTGTCAAACGCACTGATCTCTCTCTCTCTCTCTCTCTCTCTCTCTCTCTCTCTCTCTCTCTCTCTCTCTCTCTCTCCCTCCCTCTCCCTCTGCGTTTGGCATTTATGGAATAACTTGCCTCGCGAATTTCCGATTACGCATTTTGAACATCGCCCCATTAAATCGTAATCGTAATAACGTTTCACAAAACGTTGCAACAACCATGTTTATTTATTCATTTATTTTTAACCGCGTTCCACATACTTTTCGGCATGCTCAAACGAAATCAATTTTTCCTTCTTCTTCTTCTTCTTCTTCTTACATCATAATATAATATAATTTAAACGAATAATAATAATAATTCGAAAATACTTTTTATTTATTTATTTATTTATTTTTGTCGAAATTTGTAAAAAAGTTTATCATCAGAGAAAAGAAAGGAGAGAAAGAGAAGAGGATAAATCGAATTTTTGAAAATTCTTAACAAACTTTTAAACGAGTTCCTTCACGAGCTCGATCTCCTTTCGAGATTCTTATTTCCCAAAAGAATACGCGTTTATTTGTTGAAAACAATAATTAGCGTCTTGGAACACGACGACGAGAATCCTGTCAATTTCACAGATCGATGATTCCTCTTCCACAAATATCTTGTTTCGAAAGTATTCCACTTATTTTATTCCATCGATGATTATTGTTCTGGATAATCGTAACCTTCCTTTCTCTTTGAAGTAAAAATGTCATCCACAATTTTTTTTCCAATTTTTCTTTTTTCTTTCTTTCTTTCTTTCTTTCTTTTTTTTTTCTCTTTATTACGATTTCACTTTCTCGTTTGATCACAGGTATCGATGGTAAACAATAAGCATTGGTCGAGAAGTCACGTGGTGCGATAGGGGGTATTAGAGCGAGGAAACCCGACGTGAAATTGGCTTAAAGGCCCACCTCTGTAAAATAATGTCTGTTGGAGCTGCGTCATGATGTCCAATTGCCTTGGACAATACTTGACTGCATCTAATGTGACGCATAAGCCGGTCAAACTAACTTCGTGGCTTCTCTCAACTGCGACTGTGCGATTGGCTATGAAAATTTCATTATTTTAACGATTATCGATCACAATTGATTCTCTCGTTTAGTTTAAGGGGTCTGTTATTATTATTTATTATTTAGTTTTTGAATGGATGTAAGTTGAGCGCGAATTTTGCAATTGCATTTGCAAAATTTGAGACGAGAGAAATGTTTGAAAGTGTTGAATCCTCTTGCAATATATTCTTTATGGCAATGTGTGAAATTATGACTGTCGAAAGTCATGTAGTATTCACAGTATAAAATAGGAAGTGTTTAAAAATTGCTTCATTGCTGAGCATTTTTTAAATCTATCGCTAGTTGTAAATTTTATTATACGTCTTGGATGTAAAATATTGTTGCTAGTTTATTAAGGATCTTCATACGAAACTTCTTAACTTAATTTGAAAATTTTATTAAGTTTCTAAATTTATCCATGTTTATTAAGTTATTGGTGTTAAATGTGAAATCTCACGTGATATTTTTATCTTGGGCTAATTTATGAAACATCCGCAGTGTAAATGAAATTTTTAACTTAGAATTTTTAAACTTAGATTGGATTTCTAGATTTACAACATTTTTTAATGTTACGGATAGATCGCTTCAATTATTTTTCATTCGTCAAATTTTGTCACAGATATTGATAAATTTTTCAGTTCTCAAATTCGACGCGTAGAACCTAAAAAAAAATCCTGATTACTTAGAAAATGGTCACGATATATTATTATTGTATTTCGCAACAAGAAATATACGCGAATACCTCTTGAATCCCTTATGAACTTCCCCCCGTGAAACCCGTGTGAAATTTGAATTCCAACTTTTTTTGACACACTATCTCGACAACATGAAATTCTGTAATTTATAATAGTTTTCACGTTACAGTAGCATTAATTAGAAAATAAATTAATAGGTGGAGAAATTCGTTATTTTTACACAACGTGATTTAATAGCGGTAGAATGACAAACTGGATACAGTGAGAGGTCAAAGGCTTTTCCAATCACACGTATACACGTCGTTCCGCTGTTTTAATCCTTTCTGAGTGACGGTATGCCTGTAACGGTAGAGTGAGTGGTATCAATGGGCATAGTATCGCTGTGTAATGTTTAAACCATGCACTAGAGCCTACCGTTACGAACAATAGACTGTGAACTGGATCTCTATGTTAATTGTTTCAAATGTAATCTGTTTTACGGAAGAGTTAAAGATCTCACGATCATTGTGTAAATATATACAATTGTGTATACGTAACGTTCTACTTCATTCGATAGATAGAATTACTAAACAGGGATCTCTTTTGTACACGTTTCATTTAATAGTGAATTTTACATGTTTATTAACAGTATAAGATGTTTTAAAATTATAAACGCTTCTTTACGTTGCATAAAATAATTTATTGATTGAATTCTCTTCGTTAGAAATTCGTTCCGTTACACTATTATATTTTCAATATCAAGTTTCTGTATTATTATTAATTCGAATATTTTTCTCAATGCCTGACCGCAATTTGTGGTTATGGCTTATTCAAACACCATGACCAAGTAACGGTATGGTGTGTGCCATTGATAGCGTTGAACGTTACACATCTTTTTCACAATATCACGAACTCATCGCTCGTATCGACCTGGTATCGGTAATATGTATCATTTATAGATCATTTAAATCGATGACTATAATGTTAGAAGCACAAAATTAAACCCATCACTCGTATCGATGCACACATCGCAACATGTTTCAACGTCAACGTCAAGAATAGATCTTTTGAATCGATCACTACACAATCGATTTAATCTTTTGCATCAATGCATGCAATGTATATCAAGCATCTACAGATTCTTTAAATCAATAACTATACAATTATTGGAAGTAGAACGTTCCAGTATCCACTTAAATCCATCACTCGCATCAATGCATACATTGCAACGCACGTTTCAATATATATATGGACCTTTTAAATCGATCACTGTGCTGTAGAACGTCATGGACTTAAACCCATCACTTGCAACATTTTAACATTTATAAATTCTTTAAACCGATGACTACACAATATTGAAAATTGTACGAGCCATCGATTTAAACTCATCATTTGCATCCAATGCATACATCGTGTATCAGCATCTACAGATCCCTTAAATCAATAACTATACAATTATTGGAAGTAGAACGTTCCAGCATCCACTTAAACCCATCACTCGCATGGATGCATACATTGCAACACTCGTTTCAATATATATATGGACTTTTTAAATCGATCACTGTGCAGTAGAAGTAACATCATCAACTTAAATCCATCACTTGCAACATTTCAACATTTATAAATTCTTTAAACCGATGACTACACAATATTGAAAATTGTACGAGCCATCGATTTAAATCTATCATATGGATCCGATGCATACATCGTGTATCAACATCTACAGATC